AGCTGCATTTGGTAACATGCTGTGCAACTATAGCACTGCAACAGGTTGCACGAGCGCTACTAGACTGTTTCAGTGCAGTCAGCTAGACTAATGTATTAGCCTTTCAGCAGTGATTTAAGTTATTCTAGCAAATGCAGCCTTTCAATTCTTCCCCTTTTTGGAAGGTTTTTTTGTGTTCTAATACATCATACCCATAAACATACTAATGTAAGTGGTACAGTTCTCCTCCTTAAATGAAGGAAAATGCCTCACTTTACATTCACATCCAACAAGAGGAATAATCTCTACCTGAAAAAGACACTTTTCTGTTAGTAAATTGGTTCAATGTATTTTTATTAGTTAATAATAAATTTTTATAAGTTGAATTCTAATCAATATAGTCACAAACTATTTTCAAGAGCAGACCACGGCTGGACAAAAACATTCCAGGAAATAATTCTATCACTTATGCTGCAGTGGAATTTTGAGCATACACATGTAAGGGAAAATTAACACATGATTCTGCAGAAAATAAACCACTATGCAAAGAGTTGTCTAAGAAAGTTTAAAAAGTTTCCCAGGGAACACCTATAAATACAACTGACCTTCAAGATTTCCGTAAAATGAAACGACATGAGTTGATGTACCTGATGATGGATAAATTGTGAATGCGCTACATCTTTTATTGAAATAAAGCAAAATGCATTTATCCGTTGATTCAAATAAGAGAAAACATCTCCAGGTTTTCAGCATTCAGTTCAAAATAAATTGCTGTAAGTTCTTAAAACGGGGGTGACAGGGGTGTGCAATTGGAAGTAAAAATCAACTTAGGCTGCAAATTCTAATGCCTGCAGAAGCCTTAGTAGGAATGTATCACATTCCTGTGACCCAACCTGTAATAAGATCACCGTGGTCCAAAGGAACTCCGACCTATTTGTTGGTCCAATTCATTTTTGTTTGTCCACAAGCCTTCTGTAACCAAAACAAGTCACTATGAAAGCAGTCTTCTCCTTATGTTTCTAAGACTGACCTTTTTGTATGCAAAGATGATGCACGTTTATCTTCAGCTTTTAGCATTCTTCAGAAGCTGGAACGCCTTATTTCCAACTGACAATTAAAAATAAATGAGCTTATCCAAGTACTCCAAGAGTCAGAAAGTCTTAGCAAAAGGAAAATCTGCAAACAAATCTCTACATTTACCTGGCTTGTTTACGACATCAGCACCTGTGGTACTTGGAAACCCCCTTCAGTCAAAATGCAAAATTGCCTTTACCCACCAGAAGGAGAGATACAGAAGAGAAATTGCCAGAAGGCGGCCAGTTAGAACAGTGCCAGCATACTATAATGGACATTTTTAAAGGTAAATGGACAAATCCAGACTTGCTTTCTGTTTGGTCTAAAGCAAGGGAAAATGTCAATGATTCATGTGCTGGTGAGTGACATATCTTCACGGAAAATTTCTGCCTAATGTGTAAGAACAGACAGACAGAAAGTTCAAGTCATATGTTGAAACTTGCACCATTACCCAGCTGTGGCAATGGTATACAGTACTTTGTTACAGTTTTACCTAATTTTTTCCTCGGCCTAAACAGCATGACTGCTTATAAGATGGATTTTACATTGTACATCTTTAAGTTTCAATTTAATCAAGCTGTTTATTCTGTTCATTTCTCAAATTTGGACTCCAGCATCACTAAAACAAAAAACTCCCTTAAGCAATGCTGCATTTTACCTTAAAGAGTTGCCATTTTTGAACATACACAGATAACGTGTCTTGAAAAAAACCCCCAACCATGAGATTCAGTACATCACTTAAATGAGGAACATGGTATCTCAGAGATTTCTCTTCTCCATTAGCCCTTACGCCTCCATGACCCTCCTTCTTTCTCTAGGAGCACCTCAAACATCTCCTCTTTCCACCTCAATAATCCCCTTGCCTGATTCCCCCTACTTCTTCTGTGGGATTCAACAGAAGTAATTTTATACATCAATACCTTTTCCATGAGGAAAGCTAAAGGAATTGCACATGATATATGAGAAAATGTATCTTCTATTGCAGTATTTTCAACTGAACTGATGTTTTAGTAACTCACTGGAAGGAACAAAACTGACATGAACAGCTTTTACTCCGTTTTAAAAAGTTAGTTAAGATTATAGTTTGCTATCATAAACTTCAGTGTTTCCAAAAACATCAGTGTGGATTCAGAGCTTCTGAAGCTACTGAAGACCATTAAGAACCACCTAAGTGCCTATACACAAGTCATATGAATTTAAATCTTCTTTAATGAAATTTGCTTCAAATGATGCAAATCTCTTTAAGGGAGTCAATCTGTTACATGCTGTGCTGGTTTTGGCTGGAATACAGTCAATTTTCTTCATAGTAACTGCTATAGTGCTGTGTTTTGGATTTGTGCTGAAAACAGTGCTGATAACCCAGGGATTTTTTCGTTCCTGTGCTTACACAGAGCCAAGGGCTTTTCTGGTTCTCCCCCCACCCCACCAGCGAGGAGGCTGGGGGGGCACAAGGAGTTGGGGGGGG